CCTGAGGCCCAAGCTGGCCCAACTGATTAGACTAATAGTGAAGGAACCACTGTGGCTACAATAGAGAGAGGGAAAGAGAGAAGATCAGAGAGGTGGCCAAGGGCCAGATTGTGTAGGGTCTTAGAGATCATAGCAAGGACGTTGGCCTTTGCTCTAAGAGTTATGAAACTTTGAGTAGAGGAGTGGTCCATGTTAAAAGAATCACTCACCTCTGCTGTGTGGAGAATAGACTAAGAAGGCATGTGTGGATGCCAGGACACTAACAGGTAAAAAAAAAAAAAAAAAAAGGATAGAGGCTTGAACAAGGGTAGTAGTACTAGGTGGTGAGAAACGGTTGGATTCATGATACAATCTCAAGAAGGAACAACAGGATCTGCTGAGGAATCAAGGTTTTTGGCCTTTGTAACTAAGAGAATGAAAGTGCTATTTGCTACAGTAGGGAACCATTTGGGGCTGGGGGATGTTATAAGTTGGACCTGGTTAAGTTTGAGGTGACTAGTAGAGATAGCCAAGTAAAGATCTTGAGTTACATGTTTCAGTCTGGAATTTGGTGAAAGTTTGGGGCTTAGTTAAAAATTTGGGATATGATCTATTTTATTTTAGAAGAAACTCTAAAACCATAATTAAAGAGCATTACTTTTATTGCAGGCAAAACCATATGCCATTGTTGAAAGGAAGCCCAGAATATTCCCAGTAAGTCTTAATATATGTGATTTTTCTTTTATTAGTTTTCTCCCTCCTTTACCTCCCTAAGTGATCATTATAGTGCTCCTTTCTCCTCACTGTCATTGTAAGTGCGTTTTGTATATTCTTATAAAAAAAAATTAGGAAATTTTGTGAGGCAGCAGCTACAGTTGAAAATGGGAGGTGGGCATACTTCTTTTGAAGCTGGCTGTAAAACTTGTATAACCTTTGTAGTCCTAAAGTGAATTGAAGAAACCATCAGTTTTTCACTGGTACCCTGTTTCATCTAGGGTTAAGGACTTAGGGCACTAGCCTGAGCAGACACTTGAGCATAGTAACAGCAACTGAATTCCTGTTAATAATTCCAAACTGCCATTTCTTATGGCAGTTTGACCTTAACCTCTCCACCTGTGAATTTAAAATCCTGTTAATGTGTACTTTAAGTTTTGTAGTGTGACTGAGAGCTATTATCCTAATTTAAAATTGAGTCTTTAGAGCATTAAAAGATTACTTAGTCATCAGTTGGTATTTTTACTCGTTTTGTAAGGTTATTGTTTAAAGCATAGCAAAATGCAGATTATGTTCTTGTCCTATTTCTAGTCATAGATAATGAACTACCATCAATCTCTAAGTTCTGTAATTTTAAAAAACAGAACTCAGTGTTGGTTCTTGCTTCAATCAAATGACATAGTCACAATAATCCATAATCGTCTGCAACAGAAGGGAATTTAAGGGTGAACCACCAAAATTAACTAATCCTTCAGTTGAAACTCAGCTTTAGGAAAGAGGAGATTTCTTCTGTTATTTTGTTGTGTATAATTAATGTGTGTCAGGGCCTACGTAGTCTCAGAATAGGAAATTATGTTACTGGTTTCACCAGTTGGGTAATTTATTTAATCTTCCATTGACATATTTGTTTATCACTTTATTTTGCCATTGCTGTTCAAAGGAAAAGAAGGGTGAGGCTCTCTTTAGAAGACCATGGTGATTCCATAGCATTTCGCCTAGTTCTGTATTTTATTTTACTTTTTTGCCACTGTGGTTCTGTTTCTGTGACATTGACCCTTTAAGAAGCTTCCCCTGTGAGGACCTGAAGAATGCTCATTTGTACATATATTAGAAGAGGATAGGCAGTAACAAACCCTCAGGCCTCAGTGGCTTAACAAAACAAAGGTCTGTTTCTTATTGATATCATAGACTGATATAAATCAGGCATTCTCCACAATCTTACAGTTACACCATCTGGAATATGAGGCTTCCAAAGATCATGTTAAGAGAAAGAGGGGGATGGACATCTCGGGAGGATTTTAAGGTCTAAGCTTGGAACTAGCTTACATCACTTCTCTTCAGATCCTGTTGGCCAGAACTCATTGTCATTGTCCCACATATCTATGTGCTTTTTTATATTTCCCAGCCTACCATGCCTGGAGTCTGTGCCACAGTCCATCCTTCTAATTACCAGATAGCTCTTTGCTTCCTTCTCCCAACACATATAACACAGTTCCTTCCCTAGGGATAAATCCCAGAGTCCCATCCTTCACTGCAACCAGCCCCAAATGTTGGACCTCCAGATATTGTACAGTAGTGTGGCTGCTGTACAATGATGTGACTTCTCTTGGGATCTGAGGATCAGTGAATTAAGAAGGCCAGTTAACTACATGCCTTTTCTCCCCCAAACCACCCCCAAACACACCCATTGCTCAGTGGTGGAATTCAGTTATTAGTTCTTGGCAATTCTTAAATCCCAGTGGTCAGATATAAAGATTCCTAACCCCCGTGTGCAGTAAGCGACCTGCATGGGCACTGATTTTGTTTTCTGGAATACCTTTGTTCATTGTTCTTCCTGGCCCCTGGCTTTGTCCAGAGTTTTTGGGTTTTTTTGTTTTTGTTCTTTTCCATTTTCAACCTAGACCACTTCTAAAATGGGTATGGGAAGCATGCCCCTCTTAGGGTTGTATAGCCTTTAAAATTTGCCTCCTTCTCATAGGTTGAGTGCCAGAGGTTGTTTTTTATTTTTTTAATTTTTATTTTTTTAAAAAGATTTTATTTATTTTTTGAGAGAGAGAGAGACACAGTGAGAGAGGGAAAACAAGCAGGGGGTGTGGGAGAGGGAGAAGCAGGCTTCCCGCCGAGCAGGGAGCCTGACGCGGGGCTCGATCCCAGGACCCTGGGATCGTGACCTGAGCCAGAGGCAGACGCTTAATGACTGAGCCACCTGGGCGCCCGAGTGCCAGAGGTTGTTTTAAGCTCAGACATTCACAGGCTTTTGTTGCATATATGTTTGGTTTCTTTGACCATCTATTTTCCACAACAGTTGGTAGTTAGGAAAGAAAAATACTTGATGGGAGTCTTTTTGCTTCTAGTCAGCCCTATATGCATCTATGCTTTGTGTAGTTACCATGTTCTCTCATTTCTTTGTACTCAAGCAACTGCCTCTAACTCCGTGGCAGTTAGGTGAAAGACATTAGAAAAACTGGCTCAAGATAAGTCTGATCTTTACCATGGGACAGAGTCCCTCTGAGTTATATTGGGCTTCTGTATCTCAGGATCTCTTCGTTGTTAACTCTTAGTATTTAGAGAACCAGAAGCAACGTGATTTTCCAATACTGTAAGGTCCTGCATTTTCTTATTCTTTCCATTTTTATTTCTCCTCTTAAATCAGCCTCTTCCTACCTGAGCTTATGTTTCTTAAAGTACATTCCCAAGGCAGCTAGTAGTAGTCAAACAGATACAATTTTTTTTTCAGCTACTTCTCCTAGAACCTCAATGCATTAGACACTGTTTCCAAGTTACTACTGCCCCATCTTTTAGACTCCAACGCCAGTTACCTTGTCTCCACTGTTAAGCCAGTGCCATTGGTTCGATTTTTATTACAGCAGCATTAGTACCACTTTATAGAGTGGTACTAATATGTTATGGTAATGCCAACTGAGTAACGAATTACCCCCCAAATGTATAATGGCTTAAACATAATAAAAGCTTATTTCTTCATCAGATGATAGTCCTGAACACTATTGGGGTCAGGGAATGGCAAGTGTGGGGATGGGGATAATTCTACTTTACCCAGTCATTCATGGACTGTTAGGCTCACAAAATCTGCTATCTTAAACACAAAGATGAAACTAAAGCTAAGTAATTTGCCTAAAATAATAACAGCTTCTTAGTGAAGGTTCTAGGATTCTCACCTCTTGGTTCTGGCTCCAAAGCCCATGCCCTTTCCACCACACATATTGTATCTAGGTTTGAAAAGATAACCTAAATCAGCTACCCAAAGTTTGCATTCTGTCTCTCACATCTGAGCCAAGTGGTAAACGTTGCCTAACACATTCAGTTGCTGGGAGTACATTACCTCTTGATATTGGACTGAAGATGTTTCCCTGTAACTTTTTTTAGGGCTTTTCCTATTTCTTGGGGCCATGCAAAATAAACATTATCTTTTTATCACTTTATGAAAACCACTTTCATGCCCTTTCTGGACATTTTGTTTGAGTGAAACTTCCCCTTATACTTCCTTCACTTATACCTTTAGATTCTGAATATTGCTCATCTTTAGACAGCTTCTACTTTGTCTAAGTCCCTTTCAAAATGTGAATGCCAGAACTGAACTAGATTTTCCACGTGAGATCTGATCAAGTGGAACTATCATCATTGCAGACAGAGATTTTTCTACTAATGCATCTTTGTTTTTTTAGGGTGATACAATTCTGGAGACTGGAGAAGTAATTCCACCAATGAAAGAATTTCCTGATCAACATCATTGAAGATTACTTTAAAATTTCAAAGGCGTATGAGGCCAAGTTTGTTGCTGTATTACTGTATTTACTGAATATATTTTCTGGAAAAGTAACTTTAATAAAGTTTACTTTGAGATATGTGTTGTCTGTTTCTTCACAAATATTGTACAATTTGCAACTCTTTGAATTATTTAACAATAAGTAAAAATTGGATAAGCTAAAGAAATATGAGTGATTACCTTTTTCTGGCCATTCTTAACTTGAAAAACAGGATAGAAAAGTAGTCACGTGGTAGTTTTTTTTCCTTACACAGTATACTTAATCTAATCTTATGTGAGTATGCAACAGAATGAAATGTTGCAATAAGCAAATATAAGAACAGCAATTCCACACACATTTAGAGAAGACTGAGGCATTTTAAGAGGTTATTTAGAAACTCTAGGTTGAAAAGCATGTCATTCCACCTATGATCCAGTACTCATATGTTGTCAGATCTAGGTTGATTTGTTTTATATAAGAATGTAGAAGACACACCTCTGTGAAAATTAGCAGATTAGTAGCTATTATAAAGGACTGCAAAAATAAATTTGAGAAACTTTGCATAATGGATTTTACTTTAAATCTAGACACGTGCCAGATAAGCATCAGATAAAGAACTGTGTGCACAGAATTAAATCCAGAGAAACTACAAATTTTCATTCATCCCCGAGATTTCTGTCTGGGAATTCCTTGCTTAGCTGTCGTCGTGCGGCCACTGTTGATGCATAGATGACATATCCCCAGGAGAGCAACACGATCGAGAGGAGCAACTAAAAAAAAGCAAGAGGGGAAATTAAAAAAAAAATTACTGTAAGTGATACTTCCCTCCCTCCCCTCGCCCCAACAGGTTGCCGCGTACGTTGCTAAGGTGGGAATTACAGTGAAAAACTCGAATAAATGGGGTTCCGGAGGCGAGTACTCCCAGCCGCCCTTACGTAAGAAGCGGAAGAGCGTGTCTTCCAGGAAGAGGCGGAGTCGAGGTGAGAGAGTGAAAGCCTTAATACAGGAATGGATTTTGGAGTTTCTGGCCGCTGAAGAAATAGGGGGCCTTCCGCCTGCGGGCCTACGGAGTCGACACCGTGGAGCCTCGCCAGACCAGGGACCTACCACTGAATAAATCCAATCCAGGGTGCGGCGACTCACTGGCTTCATGGTAAGTTGGCGGCGGCGGCCCGCGGTAACGAAGGGAAACTGCAGGCCCTAGAGTAACCTCCGGGGCGGCGGCTGCCGAGCGGCGGCAGCCATCTTTCAGCCGGGCACAAGCGCCCGCCCCTTGCCTCCGGGAGCATTTCCCATCAGCCGGGCCGGCCTCTTCCGCCCGGAGCTGGGGGCGGGCTCACGTGATACGGGGGCCTAGCTTGCGGTGGAGAGAGGGGATGAGATAAAGGAGAAAACATGTTAAAAACGACCTTTTTTGCTACTTAGATGGGCGTGCCTTGCGATCCGGTCTTCTTTCAGTTGCAGTGCGGTAGTCACGCAAGATGTACCGTCGTAAGCATTTAAAAATTTATTTGAAAAAATCTTCATTTTAAATATTACACGGGCTTCTAACGCTGGAGGGATTAACGTTTCCTCCCGCATTTGTTTCCACATAATACAGAGACGTTCGTATAGTCATCATTGACTTAAACAGGTACCACCCACTTTTATATAACAGCGACGAATCGTTGTGGGAGTGCCTGTTAATTGAGCCCTTCCCAGAAACAAGTCTTTGAGAACGCAGTTGCTTGTGGATGTAAATGGTACTTCTAAGAAGAAATAACGTAGCACGAATTACTTGGCCTAATGTACCTGCCAATCAACAAGTGTGTTTTGAGCGTTTATGATGTGCTTAGAACGGTAGCACGTATCAGATAATAAGCCAAAGACAGCATTTTGTACGTGGGCGGTTTCTACCTAGTTTAGCTCTAGAATGTTTGGGACGCTCCCGTCTGAGGCCTGTGGGTAGGGTGGAGCAATGGGCTGCTTTAGGCTCAGACGTTGTCACTACACATCTCAGATATCACCTAAAGAGGTTTTTAATCCAGATTCCGGGGAATGGGGAAGGGAAAAGTTTTCCTTTGAGAGAAAAATGTCGTCTGTCTTGGGAAGATTTTAAGGCCCTGTTCTCTTAGGTAATCCCTGTTTATCCCTAGACTGGAGTAGATTTCTTTATGAAGACTGGGTAGGACACTGGTTGGGCTCTGGCTTTGGATTCCATTCGAATCCCCGTGTTATGACCTAGCTGTGCAACCGGAGGCGGTCACTTCACCTTCAAATAACTCATTTCTTCATACACTAAAGATAATTTTAGTAACTTCTCGCAGAGTTTGGTGAGGTTTAAATGAGACCAACCTAGTTATCGTGTTTTCCGCGTAATTTAGGAGCGAACATGAAGTATTACGCCTGTAACCCCCAGCAACTACTGGTAACAAGAATGATAGTGATGGCAGTGATTTGTGCCCGAGAGGGTCTCTCGTAGTTCTTGTTCCAGGAATGGAGGGGACGGTGGGGGAAGGGCGCGGCGGGCTTGGCCGAGCACTCTAGGCTCCGCCCTCAGTGCCGGCGGCCTTCTGCCGCGCATGCGTTACGCACGCGGGTGTTGTGTTTTGACGCGCGGGGGGCTGCGGAGTGGGTCTCGCTTTCTGCTGCCGTCCCCCAAGCTGCCATTGGTGATGAGCGCTTTACGTCACAGGGGTCGCAGCAGCCGCCGGGGTCTCCGCTGTCTCGCGAGGAGGGTGAAGCGCCCCCGCCCGCTCCCGCTCCTGAAGGCCGGCGGAGAAGTCGCCGGGTACGCCTTCGCGGATCCTGCCGTCACCGACCTAGCTTTCTGGGCCGCCGGGAGCTTGGCACAAGCGCCCCGGCCGGGACTGCGCCGGTATCCTCCGAGGTGGGTGAGATCCCGAACAATGGGGCGCCGGGGTCGGAAGGGCTGGGTGGGCTGGCGCTCCCGGCCTGGAATAAGGCCCAGGGACCTGGGACCTGCGGTCTGGGCCTCAGGGGCCGTCTGGGCCTCGGCGGGGCGGGGCCCCCAGCGGGCGGGCCGGCGGCTCCGGTGGCGCACCTGTGGATTTGTGCGGGTGGGCGGGGGAGGGTTGCGTTTCCTAGAACCTTTCCCGAGGGGCACGAGCGTAGCGGTGTACTGGAAAGAGCTTGGTCTCTGGGAGGAAAAAAAAAAAAAAACCCATAAAACAAAACGTTCGTGTCTCATTCGTGGCATCGCCTCTCTCAGAGGTGTGCCAGAGGTTAGGTTAGGTGCCCTAATCTCATTGTCTGCCTGTCCAATGGGAGTAGCAGTGTTTTAGTTGGTTCTGATTATGTAATGCACGTGGGGCTTATCTGCGATCTTGGCCGGTGGCCGTTCTTGACCCAAGGAAGCCACTATCACCGTGACTCTTAGAGTTGTCTATGCTGTGTTACTCGTTGTGGGCTGGGCTCACTTGCCTGTGGTTTCTCCATCCATCCAGTTCAGCTTTCCTCGTGGGCTGCTGATTCCTAGACTGGAAGGGGGCAGTACTGAGATGGAGCAAACAGTGTTTTAAGAGCAAAAGTGAACAGAATTTTTGATAGGTAATTTTCAAGAATATTAAGTTAAATTAAGAGTTACCCGACATTTAAGTTAATGGTGAGGGTTGGGTTCTTTTTGTTTTATTTTGTTTTAAGTCAATGAAATTCAAAGCTGTAGTCAGCCAAAAACAAGGCTTAGCTGGAATGAGTGGCTTTAGCAAGGAATGGTTCCCAAGCAGTTCTTTTTATGGTTGGAGTTGGAATTAATATTTATAGGATCTGGTCAATAGATCCTGTAAGATCTGTATGATCTTTAGGAACTGGTGATTAAATTGCAGTAATTTAATGTTCTCAAAGGTCATGAGAGATAGGACCCAGATTATTTTTAATACTTGAGGTTTATTCTAGTTCATCTACTTGCGAACCCTTTTTAGCCACTTTGCCTGGATATATTAAATACAGTAATAACATTAAAAGAATTGTTATAGGCTGTCAACTTTCTGGGTCTTTATAATCAGTTATAGGTGATGGAAAGGACTAAAATTAACTTTATTTTCAGATAACATGGGGAAACAGTATTAAATTCTTACTGCATGCTAATCGCTGTGCTAAGAATTTACATAGAATATATGCCTTCACACAACCACCTTTTCAGGTGGGAACTGGTACTTAACCCAATTTAGAATTGAGAAAATTTAATTTGAGAAATTAAATGATTTCCTCCAGATCAGATCATTGATAAGTGGTTTTTGATTTTCAACCCTGGCTCTGCATTAGAATAAATGTCACTTCCCTGTATGTAATCAACACCATTTTTAAATGTCCAGTCTATAATTTAGACTCCAGCCTCTTGATTCTTTACTCCCTCTCATCCTTTTCCCTAGGTAAGTATGATCGTTAAATTATCTGAAATTCCCCCAAAACGTGACGGGAAGGATTCTTATCTCTGTTAAAGCCAGTAGATTTGAAAATTTTGGGAAGGTTTGGCTTAATCATTGTATCTTAAAGATAGTAAACTTTATTTATAATTTGGGAGGTGGTTAAGGAAATAGGATCAGAAGAATTGATTTCATCTTTATGCCTATGGAGAAATTAACTTAAAGTCCCAATTCCTAGAGTGTTAAGATAGAGAAACCTTTATTGCAGGCTTCTAGAACCTGAGCACTAAATCCACCATCAGGTCCACCTTTACTATCTAAACCCAGAATTTATAAACCTACGAATCTTAATCTGTCTCCTAGCCATTCTTATTTTATGTCTTAATCTGTATTTTTAAAACAGCTTTGTTGAGATATAATTTATATTCCATCTGTAAAGTTCACCAGTGTAAAGTATATAATCCAGTGGGTTTTAGTATATTTAAAGAGTTGTGCAACTATAATTGAACATTTTCATCATTCCAGAAATAAACTTTGTAATCCCTCTCCCTCTCCCAGCAACCACCAATCTGTTTCCAGTGTTAGATTTGCCTATTCTAGACATTTTCATCATATAACATGTGATCTTTGTGACTTTTTTTTTTCCATTTAGTCTAATGAAAAGTTTCATCCTTATTGTAGCATGTATCAGTGTTTCATGCTTTTTTATTGCCCAGTAATATTCCATTGTATGGATATACCACATTTTATTTATCTTTTCATCAGTTGTTAGGATTGTTTACATTTTTGAGCTCTTACAACAAATGCTGCTGTGAATATTCACATGTAAGTTTTTATGTGGGACAAGTTTTCATTTCTTTTGGGTAGGTGTTGATTTCTTGAGTCATATGGTAATCCTACTTCATTTGTATCTCAGCAAATATTTGAGCAAATTTTTTTAAAATGTAATCTCCATACTCAGTGTGGGGCTTGAACTCATGACCCTGAGATCAAGAGTCAGTCACGAGCTCTACTGACTGAGCCAGCCTGATGCCCGATTAGCAAATGCTTTAATTTTAGCATTAGTGATGCTTTTGAAGGAGTAAATCTCTTATTTGATGATGTACATTCATTGCTGTTGTTTGATGTTTCTGATGAATACCATTCTTTATATCTAAAGATACTACTGTGAGAAATACAACTCTATTCTTTTTATCTATTATGGATGACATTACTGATCATTCTTTAGCTTTATGCTATGCTGTCAAAGTGGTTAACAGGCTTATAAAACTAGGGAAGGGAAGACTAAGATTCCTTTTTTTTTTTTTTAAGATTTTATTTATTTGGGAGAGAGCAAGAGTAGTGCACGAGCAGAGGGAGAGGGAGAAGCAGACTCCTTGCTGAGCAGGGAACCTGATGTGAGGCTCGATGCAGGGCTCGATCCCAAGACCATGGGATTATGACCTGAGCCGAAGGCAGATGCTTAACTGAACTCAGGTGCCCATAAGATTCCATTTTTTAAAAAAAAATCTTAGTTGAGATTTTGTTTTATTTGAACTTCAAGTTTACTACCTACTAATTTCCTTTAATAAAGTTCATTCAGGGTTATAATTTTTATGTGAAATGTTCAGTAAGCACTAAAATTCTGTATTTCCAAGACAAATTGAGATACAATGTATTAACTTTAAATTCACCAGTCTTTTGAAAAAGTCTAAAAATTCCTTTATTATATAGAGGGGCAAACTGAAATCTAGATCTAATTGGATGTTTCCAGTTTATAGAGTTAGTTTTAGGGGAAACCTCTTCTTCAATCCAGGTTCTCCGATAACCTATCCAGTTTCCTCTCCATTCTTCCTTCCCCTAATGTACAGACTCTGTGATCCTAAAAATTTTTATTTTTAGGCTTTTTTTTTTTTCCATCAGAGGGAGAATAAGAGTGT